CTCGGAGCACCACGATCCCGCTGGGGAACCACAGGAGCTGCCACCTGCATCTGGAAACTGCCAGCGGAAAAATAACCAACTGGCTAGACAGACTTTGCCGCCTTCTCCACTCCCTGCCTTTTTAAAATTATTATTATATTTAAAGAAAAAAAGCTTGGCACTTCTCTAACACCCACTTCTCCAAAATCGTCCGTTTGGGATACTAACAGCTCTGTCGATGCAGTGAGGCCGTTTGCTCTCTACGACAAACGTTTTTGGATACAAATCATGGAAAGAGCAGTGCGCGAACAGCATCTTCTCCTTGAGGTAGTCTTAGTCATCTTGGTCCCCAGCCCCCAAATACAAAAGAACTAACCCTAACAAACACTGTAACATTAAACATCTTCACATTCTGTAAACCGCTGGAGAATGCATCTGCTGCATTCATACAGAACCATGTGCATCGTGTTGAAGATCATACATTCAACTCTGTCGTGAAATAAATATATAGGAAAAAGAGTAAAAAAAAAAAAAAAAAAAAAAACAATTCTTGCTACAATGGCAGGGACGCCCACCGCCCGTCTCCTGCCTGGATCGCGTTTGCCCCTCTCCCGGGGTGAGCCCGCTCCCTGCCTGAGGCACAGAGTAAGGCACCGGCCGGGGCCAGCCTGGCTCACTCTTTGCTCACGCTCGTCTTGCAGGAATGTAGAACGGCCTTAAAAAGGAGAGGCAGCTGCTCCAAGGGGACATTCACCATTTTTCCTGGTAAGAAAAAAAAAACAAACCACAAACCAGAATTAGCAGCCACTCCTGAATCAGATTTCAGAGACACCTAAGCCAGCAACGCTGGAGACAGTCTTACCTTGAACCTCTCAGAGAAACAGTTAATCATCCTACTGCTACATTAGACATTTGATATTCATTTGGACACAACAGGATTTATTATTTACTGAATCGAAAGCAAAATAAATGGGCCAAGTCAGATCAAAATGATTTCTCCACAATGGAGCAGTATTTATAGAAACTGGGAAAGACTAAATACCATCTCTCCTCAAACTCCCTTGTTGATCTCAATGAGTAAATTACAAGAGCTACTCTCTGATTATTATCTAGTTCATTACAGCAGAGTAGGATGAAGCATACGGAGCCTTGACACAGGGCGGCAAGTATCTCCCTTTGCCCTAACATTCAGGAACAAACAATGTTTTAGTAACTCCAGACCTTATAGATCTAATTAGTGACACAACTGCATTTCAAAATTCACCTGCGGATTTCAGAGGTCCAGAGGAGCTGAAACCTGGGGGTTACACCGCACGACTGCCCACTGCTCTGCTTATCATCTGCTCCTTAATTAAGCAGCATTTCAGGGATGTCTCTATTTATTACGAGGTAACTACTCAAGCCAGGATTACACCCTTTTGAGACAAAATGCCTCCGAGTTGGGATTGAAAGGAAGAAAATACATCGAGAACCTGACCAAAGTGGTTAAAGGGTAGTAGGGGAGAGCAAGGCACATCTTCTTGGGAGCAGGGGACGTAATGCCGTGTCCGCCAGTGTCACGGGGACAACTTGCAAAGAGCCAGTCTGGCTGGTGAGCTAGGGGTGACAGGAGATGGGCTTGAAGACGGGGGAGAAGCTTTGATAGAAAAAAGTCCCACACCAACATCCTCCACCAAAGTCAACAGGAATTTCACTGTAATAAATTTTCTTTTAAAAGCAAATTTCTAACTTGCACATGATCCCAGTGGGAGAAGAGCTCAAAAAGTTACCTGCAATATATCGTATCTCTGGCAAACACATCATTAAATCCGGAAAACGGTTTGGCTGGTGTGGGTATTTGTACTCCGTGAAGTCCTGGCAAACATACCAATACCGCTTGTTCAGCTGCTCCAGCTGGGACGCGTTGGTCAGACCCCTGATGTCTGAAAGCGAATACGAGCAGAGTAATGAAAACATGCCGAGTACATCCTAGAAGAGCAGCCGACTCCCACTCATTGCCATTTCTTCAGGAAAGAACAACCGATTGCTAAAACTCTAAGCTGGGTCCCTGCTATGGAGACTGGCCCCGAGTGCCCCGTTGGACAAACACTAAAACTCCCACCTCCCTCCTGGCATGCCTGCATCGCGGGTGTGCCTTTACACACGCGTGTGGCTAGGGGATTTCCTTCCACGAAGACCAGGATGAGAACAGCTAATGTCCTAAGCTGCTCATCTGCAGAGCTCAATGGATGGTCCTGGACATAACAGCTCCAGCAACCTTAACTCCCCGCCTGGCTGGTGTAAAGCAGCTCTGTGTCAAGGTTTGGTCCTCACAGCGGGTTCAGTGTAATACTTCCTCAGACAGAAACATGTTGATTTTAGCTATATCATCTTGGCTGAGGAAAGCGCTCAACTCTATAATACAAGGTATCATCATATTTTTCCCCATCTGCTTATGAATTATGCCATACGAGCTTTATAAACTTGTCAACTTCTTATTTTTAAATTTAGCTTCGCCAATGTCAGGCAACATACACAAAGGACGAATGGACATTTCCAAGCTATGAAACTGGCTGGAAGGCCCAGTGCCACCGTTCAGCGTGGTCAACGGCACCGGCACACTGCTGGGGTCCTGGGCAGGATCCAGCACGGGGGAGCACGGAAGCTGCGGATCCTCGGTGCAGGCTCAGTATCGTAAGACCATCTGACGGAAGAGGCATTTATCTACTGCCCAAAAGCTGACTTTTAAAAATAATTCTCAGGTATTTCACATAAAAAATTGCAAACTTCAACTAAAAATAAAAGAAGACAGGAAGTTAATGAAAATACATTTTGGAAAACAATGGAGACAGCTCGACAAGTGTATTATCCAGTGTCAGGAAACTGCCCAGGGAAGCAAACCGGAACCTCAGCCCGGCAGAGATTGAAGCGTCAGCACTATCTCCTGCTGGAAACGGGGTGGGGGGAGGGAGCCTGAGCGCATTTGCACAGACTGCAACTATCTTTTACAGTACAAAAGACTCCAGGGACATTTATTTCCAAAATTACAGCTGAACGCCATCCATTAAGCATTTGCCTCTCAACAGTTTTCTTCACTTACGACATGAAGAAATGTCCTGCGAGCCCCCACAGACACGGGGGCCACAACAAACGACCGGGAAAAGGGATCCAGGAGCAACGGATCGAGACAACGTACAAAAGCAGAGACAGGGAGAAGCACTACTGAGGAACAAACCCATCTATTCTGAACCATCTCAGCCCACTACAGCTGTTAGGAAACAACTGGGATCTTCTCACGTGTTGAGGAATTACTCTGCATGGAGTTTGAGATGGCCAGGGTCTTGCAGCAGCCTGGGCTGCCAGCTTTAATACACGGGTTAATCAACAGGAGGACACAGCCCCTTCTTAGGCAGAATTCATTGCCTGCACGTAAACACTTCCTTCGTGATTACTTTTCACTTTGAAGACTTAGCATTAGGTATAGAATCTAAAGAGTAGGAGGCCAGCTAGGTGACCTAAGTATATATCCTGAAGGTAAGTATTGTAAAGAGTCAGAAAAGCTCTAAAAAAGGGGAGGACTGGTTCTACAAATTCACCCTTTAAAGCAGAAAAATGAACAAATACATCTTCTCGTTGGGAATCTTTGAAAGGTTGCTATGCAAATAGTCAACATTTACTTCAGAAAAAAAAAGCCATGTAAATTAACTGGTTCTACAGTATCATTTAGTTAATTGCCTAAACAGTTACGTAAAACAGTAATACTTTCAGAGAACACATCTCTGTCTGACGAAAAGTTTGTTAGCAGCTGGTAAGTCATGGCTCTTGCAAACCTTATCCAGAAAGTTTCACCAGCCTCTCTGCTCTGTTCTTATTCTGGTATTGGTACCCTTGGTACGTACGTAAAATGACACGCTTACTGTCCTTGGTGCCTATAGGTAAAGGCAATAAAAATTGTCTAAGCAAACAAATTCATCCACTTCCAGGATTCCTTCATGCGGGTACCCAGGTATCCCACTCTGCACGGCGTATGGTCTGCACGACGGCAAACTCGGACAGAGAGGTTTCAGAGCTCAAGTCTCCTTGTGGGTCTCGGAGCCCTTCCTCCCATTTCTCATCAGGGAAGCAAAGAGAACTCAGACTGTTTCAGAGAATTTCCCCAGCGGGGCTGATACCTTCTCTGTGTCGACTCACCTTGATTTAGGAAGTTAATGGCTTTCATGCACGCGTACTCCTCGTTGCTGACCTTCAACTGGTTAAATTTGCGAAAGAGGTAGATCAACCGCTCCATCACCTCCATCCCCTCTTCACTGAATCTGGAGGACAGAGATCACACATCAATGTATACAGGACACAGTCCATACAATAAAGACAAGAAGCTTATTAAAATAACTTCAGAGATTTTAACATCTTGCAAGAGAATTAAAAAAAATTGTCATCAAAACTGCTTGAAGTCTGCTGGCACCATTAAATTAAAGTAGAAGTAAGAAGGAAAATGACTCAATTACAAACTTGACTGTAACAGATATTGTAGCAAAACCCCATCTCTTGGTGATTCAGTTTATCACCACCCTGCTCGGACAGAGGAACAGGTTGGATGGAGCCAGGAATACACAAAAACTTCTTCCATGCTTGTAGGCATGCTGCTGTGCTTCTCTACACTTGTATTTCCCCAGATTTCAATGAGCATTGTGCCATCGCACTTCACTGGGCTAACGAGAGGTTTAACCACGTAGTTTGGGGAATGAGATAAGATTTCCTAGAAATGTGGAGAGATACTTGCCTTGCCTGGTGTTGCACTGCATCTATCCACAGCAGAAAGCAGCTCACACCACGTTATACAGCACCATGCCTTACTCCTGATGGATACTTGCGGAGGACAAAAGCACCTCCGGCAGTCCCCGGAGTGCTCCCTTGGAGTGCTTCCCCTGCTCAGAACGCAAGCTGCCCCCAGCAGCGTTTCACGTGTTCTCACCCATCCCTGCCTCCCACCTTTCTTCGATTTGCACTTTCCACCAGCTGCAGCAGCCCAAAGTATCCCACACTGGCCACCGACAGAAATGCCGACGCATCTTTGGGGGCCTGGAGGTGTCCCCAACAGCTGTACAGAGATCTGGGATCGGTGCTGCAGGTTACAGAGGAACGCTGGTTCTCTGCCACAAACACGCCCAACCTGACATCTGAGTTGTTGGGTTTAAACAACCCCCTCCAGTCTACGAAGCTGCTAAATGAATGTTAACCTTTGCCTGCAGAATCAGCGCAACCCCCAGGCTTCGGCTCTGCACAGCGCATCTCGGTGTGTCGGCCGAACAGAGCGGCACCCGAGCAGGGCTGCTCCAGCGGTACAGGACTGCAGGAACACGCACCCCAGACCCGCCGCACAGACACTGCCTCCCAGAACAAAGTCCAAAGTGCCTGCGGATTCTCATATCTGCAGAGTGCCGCTGGAAGCAGCCTTGTTTTAAAGGCAGAGGAATTACACTGACCCCCGTACAACAGTGGTGCACACTCAATCTATCTGACGGTGAGGTGGGGAAGCTCACCTCCCAAAAATTCCCAGGAGTGGCTTGCAGAGATGCTGTACTTCCACACAGCCGTAGTTATTCCCTGTTGATTACAGTTTGTTAATTTTCCTTGGCTGAGAGCTTCTGGGGTGGGATACGCTGCAGGAAGGCTGGGATCCTTCTCACAATTACAAATATGCATGAAACCACAAATAACCAACGTCAAAGGGAGTGAAACTGCAGGCTGCGGTCTAAGGCTGAATCGTGCAGTCTAAAGAACGCGTGTCATTTCCTTCTAAACTTTCCCCCTCAAATAGGATGGGGGGGACTCATTGCACTTAATAAAGTGCCTATCAAGATCCAACCAGAAAAGTGCTGCTGCTAGTGTGGACTGTCAGGGACCCTCCGCCGGGATCTGGATCCACCAGCCCTACCAGCCCTGGAGCATCCCACCAGCTACAGCCGCGCTCATTTCTGAATCTGTGCCGTTTGCTGGAAACAAGCTGCGTGTTTCTCCTGAGCATCCACGCTCGCCAAGGGAAGCCAGCGACGGACACGGGCGGGAAAGGGCACGCTGATGCACAGGGAACATAGATCTCCCCAAAATCTCCTGGGAAATTGCCTGATGGAGATTTTGTGCGTGCAGAACAAAGTCACCCTACTGAAGGGGGTGCCGGCTTCTTCTTCAGGAGCGCACGGTGAAAGAAATGGCGTAAGCAACAGGCAGAAACAGAGCTGGAGGGCACAGAGGGCTGCCGGTGCCCACAGGCACGCTCTGGGACCATCCCACGCGTGCCAACGGCCAGAACAGCCTCTCAGGAACACATCTCTCAGCAATAGCCCCATTTCAAAGAAACCACATATTGCAAAAATGCTCAGAAGTGGGACAGAAGTGTTTAGGGAAGCTTTAGCTGCGTTCTGGCATTGTGCAGCACAAAGAATAAGAGCACATCCAGAAAGCCATCTTTGAATAGAACGAAAATAGAACCTTTTTCACTGAATAATACCTTATTTTGGCATGTGTGTTTGTTTACTTCAAAGTTATTTGTAAAATGCATGGTGGAGTTTGACCTCCGAGAAGTGAAAACAAGCTATCTGAACTCCAGGTCACTTCTTCAAGAAAGTAATATTGTAAGTGATGAAAGCCTTGTCGGCTAATCTAAAGTTGTACAAGTTTTCTTGCTCTCAAGTTGACATTAAAAATCTTGCAGGTGCAAGATTGCAAAGCTCAAGAAGTTAATGAGCACAAAGACCACTCAGTCGTCTGTTGGGTTTAATTGTTTTTAGAGCATGCACATTTTTACCAGCCACTCATCACTTCATAAATCCAGGAGAGCTCTTCTCTCATTCCTGCAGTTGAACTGTCTTACTTTTCTGTGCATACTTTCCTCCCCCTTTCAAACAAAGCTGTTCTGTTTTTCACAGCCCTATTTCTTCTCGAGGACTGACTCCTCCACACACTTTTCCTCGCAGTTTACACCAGGCAAGTTTCTGGCTGGGAGTTATCGGGATCAGCTGGGGAAGAGGGGGAAGGGAAGCACTATCAGGAGTGCGGGGGGAGGTCAGGAATCTATTCATTTCATATTCATCTCCAGAAAAACAGCGCAATAAAAAGAAAACATTTGGTCTAGCAGGCAAACAGAACATTTAGCCAGTTGTTAGAAGTGATTAAAACACAGGGGGGCTGGGGAGCTCATCCTATGCCTTCATTCGTCACCTACCTAAGCATTAGCATCACTCCCGTCATTTTGCTAAGAACAGAAATTAACCCCGAAGTGCCAGATTATCACAGCTCAGCGAGATTTCTTCAATCGGCCGTGAGATGTAACGAACGTGGGTTTGCAGTCATTACTGACCAGTGCCAGAGCTCTCCAAAGAACACGGGCTCTTCGAGAAAACCCCCAAGTTGGACACTGCTCCAAAAGAGCCCTCGCAGATCTGAAGGGACCGGCTTTTCCAGGAGTGCATCGGAGAGGGAGACTGATACCCATGAACTGTCCCACTGCCGCCTGCGGTCAAGCGACGGCTGAACTACCATAAAGACAACCGAGAGGGAGCCGTGCAGCTTGAGACCCCTCATCTGTGCAACTTCCCACTAAATGGCTTTTTTGGTGTGCATTTTCCCATGTTATTAATGACAATGAATGATACTCGATAAGCTAAATGAGAAGAAGAGACTGCAGAAACATTCCGCTCCCCAGAACACCTATTTTCATCCATGTGCACAGATCTCTGAAGGACTTTCAAGGCGATCAGCTCTGAATTGCTGGTTTCTGAAGGGCGAGGATTCCTCCTTTGTCTTTTTTTCTTACCTCTCGCTCGTATTTATCGCAAACCCAAAATGAAACAAACACTTCTCTTTTGAGGCTCTGACCAGGACAGCAGGAACAAAAGGACGGCTGAGTGCAGAACAAGTGTTATTGTGGTTTTCTATGACCCTTACTGTTCCTCGCAGGAGCAGCACCAGATGCACGATGAATGGTAGGGCAGAACGGCGCCGCGGAGGAACCTGCCCCAGGAAATGAGACACCTGGGCCCAGCTCTTGGCTCCTCCACTCCTCCGCCGTGGTCTCAGCCAGCCCCTCCGGTTGTCGAAACAGATGCACAAAGGAACCTCAAGGAGCCATCAGATACTGCGATGGCAGAGGACCATGGCAGGATTTTAAATCACTGTTTATCAGGCACTTAGATCCCCTGGTGACTCCTGCAAAATTGCCGAGGCTGGCGAGGGCAGAGCGCAAACAGGGCAGATCTCGAAAGGGAGGGTGGGCAGCAGTTTCTGTAAATCCTGCCTATTCTGCCGTAATATTGTGAGATTGAGAGGCTACTACCAAAAGGAGGATCTGTCTGGCACCGAGACTACAAAACAAAACACCCAAACCAAAACACAACACCCTGACCAAAATGATAAATGAAAGGCAGGTTCCTCAGAGCATCAGATAGCACGTACTATGGAAAAAACAAGAGCTAAGTTGCAACATCTTTAAATTTATGTAATCAAAACAATGAAATAGCAATTAATAATGAACACTTTGATAAGACAGACAGCCAGCTTTGTGAACAACCTTTCCACTGGCCCAAAGGGTTTTTATATAAGACCTTCCATCCTGTATCTCAGGGTTACCCAAAGTGATGGTTAGTTTTACTCTCCCCATAAAAAGGCGGTTTGCAGCATTGGTACGGGAAACTCAAACAGCACCATACGGCACCACGCACCTTCCCCTGCAGAAGGAAGTTTTGATCCAACACTGCCTAACCATGACGTACTTTCTACGCCTGCAACAACCGTTCCCTAAAAAACGGAAAGGAAACCAGCCGCAGGTGAAGCGGCCCATCAAGGAGAGGTAGTTAGTTGGTCACAGGGTGCCTGGCCACCGTCCTCCATCCCTAGATCTCACTCCCTTACCCGCAGGCTCAGCCCAACATCTCACCTGTGCAGCTCGTCGTCAGAGGGAGAGTACTTGGAGGTGACGTCCGTGAGGTCACCAAAGATCTGCTTGCTGTAAACAGTCAGCGAGGAGAGCAGGATCAGCTCCTGCCACGTAGAGCTGAGCAGGCAGGTATAGTCCTTGATGGAGAGTTCGCAGAAGAACGGCAGCTTCTTGATCCAAGCAATCTGCCTGAAAAGCAATTCATCCGCCAGACGACACAACAACGCAAACAGCTCTGCCTGAGTCACTTTATACCTGCAGGCACAGTTAATATGAAAGCATAAAAACAATTAACAACATTGAATGACATCATCTGATGAGGCACTTCAAAGGCAAGGCAAATGCCACAGGAATTCACGTTCAAGTGCCCAATGTGCTGGTGCCCAGGGTGTCACCTGGCAGCGGGAGCCGCGATG